CTGCCTATTAATCACTAGACATTCTCCTCCTGTGTTCCTTTGTCCAGAATACTATTTGTTCTTTTCTTTAGCCAGCATAGTATAGATATTAGCTTAAAAGTACTTCATATGGGAAGTCCCTCCTGAATGTTTGGAGTTCCCATTCTGTGTTTCCATGGCATCCCATCTACCCTTCCCTTTAGAGTAGGTATGAAACTCAACTGTTAGTCCTTTTTAATTACTGTCTATATTTGGAAATTCTCTTAACTCCCACAGAGCAAGAAACCTTACCAACCACAGTGCTAAGCACATAGTAAATACTTTGAAGGTGTTTAATGAATGCATGAATGATGTTTTATGAGCCTATAGATGAGTAGTAAGAGAATATATGAAAAGATTATTTTATTGAATCAGCTAATGCCTATAAAACATTAACTCATTGAACTGTACCTTGTACCTAATTACACTAAATATAGTGAATAATTGCCATTTATTATTGCACTGTGAAGACAGGAATGTAAGTGATTTTCTTTTCCACTATACTTTGGAAATTTAAGAAAAAACAGTGTAATATTTACAAATTAATCTTTTCTTGCACAATAAGGTAACAACATGATTTGATAATTTTCCATCTCCAGAGATTTGCCTTTGGAAACTAATGAAATATTTTTAAACATGTGAGTACAATGAAGAAGGCACTATTTCACTATATGTTTCATACAAAAAGTGCTTGTTTCTGCATATTTTTCCATTTGAAATACTATAAAATCCTTTGGAAAATAATCCACAGAATTATTTCTTTTGGGTTAGGATGTTTGCTGGGAACAACTCCTTGGTACTCTTTTTTTCAACTTAATTGAACTTTCATCCAGTTTGGAATTGTTTATAATATTTAACTTATTCTAAAGGCTGGACTGGATTCTTTCTAATAGATTAATAGAGGTTGCAAAAGATCTACGTGTTGTTACTAAATTATACAAACTACTGTATATAAATTCAAGACTGCAAAATCCTTCTCCTGAACCTCATGAAAAACTTTGTTCATCCTGAACTATCTTGTCTCCACTGTTAGTTCAGGTCTTCATCACTGTGGGTGAAACTGGTGAGCCAGACCAAAGGGTGACCTCTTGTTGTTTGCGGGCACTTTGTACTTCACAGCTTCTGGAAGGGAGGGTGATTACTGAGAGCAGCATTGCACGTAGGCACCATCTTCAGGGACCTGACCCCATGAGACTTTGCTACAGAAGTCTTCACAGGAAAGATAGGTTTCCTTTAGAAAATTTAGTTTGACATTGTAATTTACATTAAAAATTTAAAGTTACACATAGCTTTGTCTGAAGGGAAATATTAGTAAAAGTCAGCATCTAGACCCTCTCTAAATTGCATCATTTTTAGTTCTGTATTTTAAAAATCGCTTATGAGTCAATAAATAGAGGATCTTTACACATTGTATAAAGTATATCTCTTTTGCTATCTAGATAGTTTTGTATAAGAATCTTGTGCTTAATATTTCCATTTGTAAAATTGAAATATGTTATGAATTTGATTTTTAAGTCTATTTCACTATATATATATATTTTTTTTTATTTATTTTTTTTTTTTTTTGTCTTTTTGACACACGGTTTCACTGTGCAGTTCAGGCTGGCCTTGAGCTTACTTTGTAGCCCTGACTGGCCTCTAAGTCCCAGCAATCCTCCTGCCTCAGCCTTCTGAGTGCTGGGATTACAGGTGTGCGCCACCACACCTAGCTCCTTCTATGCTCCTTTTATGTTTTTTAATTAGCAGGACCTCCTAAATAATTTTCACTTAATCAGAAGCTTTTGATTTAAAAGTAAAATCTAGTAAGATGATGGAAGATCAAAATACTACATATAACTTGTATGTTAAAATTATACATTATATTGTGTTGGGAGACTGGCCTACGCTGCAGGTCCTTAGGTCCCTTTCCCAGGCACCACCCATAAGAACCAGTCCACTCCTCCAGGCTTTTCTCACCCAGGCTCCACTTGTGGGGACCTGCTACTGTTTTCCCCAGACCCAAGAGCAAACAGAGGATGAATGACAAAGGAGTCAGTTTCGCATTAGAGGCAACCCCAGGGGTTCTTGCCTGTAGGGTTAGGGGAGCCCAGCCAGGGGCTCTTGCCTCTAGTGCACAGAAGACTCAGAGCCTCTAGCCTCTTTTATTCACTCAAACAGGAGTACAAGCAATTAAAGTAACCCAAGACTCATCTGCCTTCTAGTATCCATGTAGTACATGCTCAGGTTAACAACTTAAGCTGAACTATATAAACTTTCTCCTTTCGTGCTCACAGAGGAGGCAAACTCATCCCTGGTCTCCCACAATACTGTTATTTAAATACGTATGCTTTTCATAATATGGGAAAAATAGGCACTTTGTAAGCACTGATTAAGGAAATAAAACTACTGGAAAGTTACAAGTAAGTCCTATATCTAAAGATGGTGGTGAAAAAATTTATTTTTAAAAATCACAAATTAATGGAGATAAAAAGTGATTCTATTCAAAGATATGAAAAAATATTTATTTTAATTTCATATCTTCTAAAATTGTCACTGTGTGAGTGCTTTAGATCTAACTGGGTAACAGTATTTGAAGTATGTTGTGTGGAACGCAACTTAGTACAGTGGGGAATATGGAAGTTCCAGTCTCTGAGGTTTCTAACTCCTTGCATGAGCCACTCCGTAAGGGCTCACCCCTGACTTTGAGCAAGGAAGCTTATTTTTAGGTGTTATTAAATTCTAAAATATACTAAAAAATTCCATAAATTAAATGTTAAAGAATAATTTCAGTAATGTTATTTCTGTTACTGATTTTACATGGAAACTCCAAAAAGTTTTTTCCTACCATAGCAAACTGTACATTGTATAGACTACTTGTACCTGGTTACAGTATGGATGATTATTTTGTCCATTTTCTTAAAGTTTCTGTTTAGCTGAGATGTTCTTGATACAAATTTTAGTATAACCTATATTATTACCAATAGTTAATTATATGATATGGAATGACTTTTTTTAGAGAAATGAAGTGTTGAAAAATATGTAATTTCATATTATTGATATTTTAAAGAAAAAATGTTTTGAGTGTACATTTTTAAAGCTTTGGAATAATAACAGTCTCTTCGTACTGCTACCCTCAGTGTTGGTAGTCATACATAACACTTAATAGAATGAAATTTTATTTTCATGATTTTAATGGTAATTAGAATTAAATTATGGGATCAGATATACTGACTAACATTTAACATAAAGTTGAAAGATGGAAGCAATTTAATTGTAAAATTTGTTTCAGAATATCATTTTAGAAATTAGTTGGCAGTGTTAGTAAGTCATTATTATACGAATATATGCTAATAAAGGATGAAAGAAAGATCCTCATTAAAATCTTGTTGCAAAACAAGTGACAAAATCCTTACAAAGAGCTTGAGGCTTCAGACCAGCCACAATTACTCCTGAAGAAATTTGGACAAGTGTATAGACTGTGCCTTTAGTGTGATCAGAACATATAAATGCTATCTTCCATCAATTTCCTACTAAAGATATTTTATTTCCTATTAGGGAAAACACAATGTAATACAATGTATAAGCACCCTGTTGTGAATTTCTCAAGTCAGTAAAAATACTGGCAAAGTAGACTTTTGCTAATAGCCTTCATGTTTTTGTTTTCCAGAGAGGGGCTGTGGTTTGGTCAACTAGCACATTTTTATTAGGCAAAATCTGTGATGCCGGTGATCTTCCTAGACATTTCTTGAGTGAATGAGCTTGGTATAGGTATAATGAGTTGGAAGTGCTGCAGGGGAATCCAGTTCATTGTTCATTATCAGTACTGAATGTGGTGATTTTCTTAAAGATGTTTTCGGCCAGTTTATTTGAATTAAGTCTTCTCATGTATCTTTTGTCCTCTTTCCTAGTTTGCCTGTTTTTCTTTTAGGGGATAACCTTGATGTTTTGGTGGATATAAACATCTGTGTATAGGGCTCTTGTCCTGGCAAAGTCCCCCTAAGGATTTTTTTTACACAGTTAAGAAATCTCAGTATTTTTGGCTGCTTGTTGTTTAAAACTATTTTTGTTATATATTACAGTCATGTAGCTTTATGGAAATTCCTCCATTTACCTGTTTACTATAATTATAAATAATTTATATTTCTTAGTAACTGGAAGGTAGCACATAGCTCAAGGAAAGGGGAATTTTAAGAATTTTGATTCAAGGAGTTATAAAAGATACTAAGGAAGTACTTTTGCCTACAGCTTCTGTAGGAAGATGATGTCCTGGCTTATGATTTGAAATTGAAATGGCTGCTTAACTTAGAGCAGGTTAGAGGTTGGCGAAACCTGGAACTAGAGTAGCCAGTGGTCAGAATAGGACCAGAATAGTTTAGGAGGATAGTTGCAAAAGGTAAAGAGCACAGGATCTTGTTCTGTGGAAAGATACAATTTGAAATCATCAGAGCTGACTTGAGAAATGAAATGAAGTTCTGTTTCTAGATACTAAGGCATCATTACAGTCTTGTCTGAAAGAAAGGAGATGCTTTGACATTATCAACTGGATCCTTCAGCTTTGTCATATATTACTAAGATACACTGACACTGCAAACCAGATGTCAGTGTCTTAAAACAATTCTCCTTTGACTTTTCTTATTTATTTCCCCTAGAATGTACTCCTTCTTTACTAGGTAATTGATCTCTGTATTGTTTCTAGGAAGATTCCTAAGCTTTATTTCAGAAGTACTTTCTTTTTCCTCTCAAATCTCATGAATGAGTAGAATTCACTTTGTAGAAATGAATGAGAATTGTTTCAAGACACTGACATGTGGTTTTCAGTCTCAGTGTATCTTAGCAGTATATGACAGAGCTGAGGGACCCAGTTGATATTGTACATATCTTTTGTTGAGTAAGTACTATCTTTCTGCACACTGTAGGAATAGATGTTAAATGAATGTCTTAGAGCTACTGAAAATTATACTGATATATTTATAAGGTTTTTTTTACTTTCAAATTTATTTCAGATTTTACCAAATGTTGCAAAGACTCTGGAATCCTGATGGTAGTAAAATGTCGGAAAGAAAATTCTGCATTGAAAGAATGTTTAACTGCTTAGTAAGTAGTTACTTCATTGTGTGTGTATGTGTGTGTTAAGTAATAGAAGTTGTTTAACTTAACACATGTAATATATTCAATACCTCCTCCAACCAAATTTTTCATGGTTGTCTGAGTCCAAAATTTCACTATGTTGAAAATTATTCTAAAATTTAAAAAACCAACGTATTTAATGGAAGGATTTTTTCATAAAATTATGATTGTCAGCACTGTATCTGATTAAAAATATGAAGTCAGCAAACAAAAATGTGGTTTTTTATGTAATTTAACAAACCTGTTTTTGGAAATAAGCTGATTTATAGAATACAATGTATTCTGATTTTTACTTCTTCTAATGGAAACAATTAGACTGTCTCTAAAATCTTTTCCAGCCTTTTGATTTATTGCATTATTATGAAAGTTGCAATAAATCATATGAAAGATACAGAAGTAAATTTAGATTTTTGCAGTTAAATTTTTTTAAAATTTATAAAATATTTTAATATCATGTTCACTAATGTTTCAGGATGGTTCTACGTTAGTCAGCTTTACACTGACTTTACAGCTTTTCACTGCTGGACAAAGTACCTCATACCTACAACTTAAAAGAGAGCTTTAATTTGGCCTACACTTTAAGGGGCTGTGGTTGGCTAACTCTAAAGCAGTAACATCATGGTGGAAAGGTATAGTAGGGCAAAGATGCTTAGTTTACAGTGGCCAGAAGTAGAGGAAGGAAAGAGCCAGAGAGGAGGGAGGGACCAGAGACCAGACATAGACCCCAAGGTCATACCTCCATGACTTCTCAAACCTAGAATAATGCTCAAGTGCATCCCAAAGTAGACATTACTATAACCACCTCATCCCACTCCTTGTCAATTTCATACCCAAACCATATATATTTAATTTCTAAATAAAGACAACAGCAAGTTCATACTTGCACCTAACATAGTATAACCATAACCATCCTGTGTACAACCAAAATGTAAAAGTCATTCTTCCAAAGTTCAATAGTTAAGTCTGTTTCAAAAATTCGGCTCAGTAGCCCAGCATGGTGGCACAGGCCTGTAATCCCAGCACTTGGGAGGCTGAGGCAAAAGAATCGCTGTGAATTCAAGACTGGCCTGGGCTACAAAATGAGCTCAAAGCCAGCCTAAACTGCATTGAAAGACCCTGTCTCAAAAAAAAAAAAAAAAAAAATTTAGGTCAGTGTCACTTATGAGACTCAAAGGCAAACTCTTAGTCATAAAAGTCTTGTGAAAATCAAAAACAAATTACAGAACCCAGGGTACACTGGCACAGGATATACATACTCCCATTGCACAAGGGAAGAATGGGGGTGTAGAAAAGAGTAAGACCAATATAGAAAAAGATGAAAGCCTACAGAATAAACATTAAGATTTGCAGCTCCATATCCAGCATCCAGGGAACACAGTTGTGAGATGTGAATTCCAGAGGGCTTGGGCAGTGCTGGCTGCAGCTCACAGAGCTTGACTCTCGGACTGGTTCCACTCATAGCCTGCAGCTTTCTTTGGCAGACGTTCCACATTCGTGGCCTCTCAATATCCTGGGGTCTCTACTGAACCTCTGGATTAATTCCCTACAGCCTCATACATGGCCTTCTTAGGGCCTAGCCTTCCAGGCCTTCATTTAAAATGCAGAAGCCTTTCTGACCTCATAACTCTGAATTTTGCATGGCTAAAGAACTAGCATCACATGGATGATGTGAAAGACTGCTGCCAAGTTGAAAAATACACAGGTTACGATAGCAGGCTCTTAAGTGCTTCAGTGGCTAACCACAGTGAAATGAATCCTGGAGAATCAATTTGCTAGGTGACCCTTCTCTAGCTGAGGGAACACAGTCTCTTCTCACTTGAAGGATTTACACTTCTGCACCTTTGAGCTCATAATGGGTTCTTGCTGATTTCTGAGATGCCCTCAAGACATCTTTTGGTCTTGTTCCTGTACAAAGTGTTTGGTTCCTTATTAATGGCACTGATCTCTTCAGTGACCACACCTCTTTAGGTTTATACTTTACACATTGTTTCTTCTGGGCCAAAATTTAAATCTTTAAAATTTTTCTGCTGTGCTTTTTGCCCAATTAGTACAATATAGCTGGTAAAAGCAATTAGCAGTACCCATGCCATACCCTGAATGCTAGGCTATCTTGACATTTACTCCACCAGATCAATTAGTCTGCAACCTTAATTTCAGCCTTTTCAGTCTCAAGGTATGGGTAAAATACAGGTATTTTCTTCTTCTTTTCTTCTTCTTTTTTTTTTTTTGCCAGAGTGTAGCACTTACAGCCTCTAGTCCAACTGCCAATGGAATTCTTATTCTCAGCTGAAACCTGACCCTGGCCTTTTCTGTCTGCATAACTATCATCATTCATGCTAGGTTTACAGAATTCTAGGAATTCTCTAGTCTTATCTCAAACCTTTCCAAAGTCCTGCAAAGCAGTTCCAAAGGCTTTTACATCACATGGTCAAGTACAGTCATAGCAATGACCCCACTTCTCTGGTAACGTTTTCTGTATCAGTCAGCTTTCCCAGTGCTAGACAAAATAACCAATACCCACAACCTAAAGGAGAGGTTAGTTTGAGTAAGGCTTTAAAGAGATGCAGTTTATAGTTAGTTTGCTCTAAGGCAGAAACATAGTGGTGGAAGGGTGTGGCTGAGCAAAGATGCTTAGTTCCTATTGGCCAAGAAGCAGGGAAAGAGTGCCAGAGGAGTGAAGGACCAGAGGTAGAGCCCAAGGCCACACCTCTGACCCACCCAACATGCCTAGAAGTATGGTCTACCAGTCTGTCCTCTTGATCCCAAAGCCACCAACACTTACATTTTATTAACCACATTATTGACAAATAGTATTGCAGAATATTTTAATATTTTTAATTGATAATTATAAAATCTTTATTTTGACAAGCTCTTATTTCCTTTATATACTGTTCCTCTAGCCTGTGAGCAATATATGTTAGTATGATACATTTCTTAGGGGACTAAATCAGTAATATTCGTCTGAGTCCTTTATTTATAATAACAAACTGTTATTTTTAAAAAACTTACACATTTTTAAATGCTGAGATTGAAAAGGATTTCAGAGATTAGGTATTTAAACATGTCTCCATTTAGAGAGGACAGTGGTTTTCCTCAAGTTAGTAACAGCAGTTCTTATCTGTGGGCCAGGAGTTCTACTAAGCCCTTTGTTATAGAAATGAGTTCATTCTGTGATAAATTGTTCCTCCATTTCTAGACGTTTATTGAGTAATCAGTTTGTTAATTTTTTTCTGTTGATGAAGTATTTTTCACTTCTGATTCAGTCATCATAAGAAGTTTTTCTTAGTTTGACACATTATCCCTCCCTGTAAATGGGGCAGCTCTACAGCAGAGTTGAAAGGAGCACAGACTGGAAAGGGGGCATCTTGGGCTGAGGTTCTGGCTCAAGAGACAGTTAAGCTATCTGTGTGACCCTGGATAGTTCCTCATTGTGAGAAGGGCTAATTCCACCTGGAGTGATTTTGTTACATTAACCCTTTTACCATGGTTCCTAGCCCAAAGTAGGTACTCTAGAAATGGTTTTTTTTTTTTTGAGCTTTACTTATAATATTTGTATTTTAAAATTTTTATCTGAATGTTAATCATTTGAATAAACATCCATATGAGGAAATAACAGGTTCTCGTGCATCCTGGATGAGGGCCTGGGAAGCCGAGGGAAGCTGCTGCTTATGGTTTGGAAGATAAAATCAGTGAAGGAACAAAAGTTATCACATTTGCTAAAAGCAAATGGAAAGTTACTAAAGAAAATTTTACTTGACATTAGGTTCCAGAATACCCTCAGATGGTGGCGAACCTATGGCACGCATGTTGTTTTTAAGACGAAAGATGTTACTGGATGAGTTGTTTTTTTCTAAACTACAACCACACTATTTGGATTTAATTGCAGTGTTGGCATTTTGTGCTAAGTGGGTTTAGGTTGCAACTTGGCCAGTTGACTAAAAGGTTCATCATCACTGCTGTAAGAAATGTTTATTTCTTCTTGAAAGAAATGCTCTCCTTTGTTAATTACTGACATTCTATAATACAAATATAACCACTGCTCCTCTCTCTTTAGTGACATCTTAAAAATTAATGGTTGACTCCTGTACTTCTATTTCTCACCATTCATTCCTGATTATACTACGATGTAATTTCTGAAATTACTATTCTTAGGTATAAGCAAATCCAATAAATGGGCTTTTCTTATACTTCATCCTCCTCTGCACATCTATTCTTCAAAGTTTTTCTAATTTCCCTGACGCTGATTTCCAGTTTTTCATACATTTCTCTGTACTTGTCAACTTATTCTTCCTTAACCTATACTTTCATTGGTATTTCCCTGGGTTGTCCTTGTTGTTAAATCCAAGAATGCTCAGTTTCTGTCATGGAAAAGTTACTATAGATCATGGTATTTCTTTACTTCTTTCTTGAGGTCCCAAACTGAACTGTTTCATTTTACTCCTCCCCCATTATGTCTCTTTGTGAATATACAGAGGTCTAGATTACATACCTCAATGTTAGTAGTTTATATTGACTGCTTGCAAAAGTCTTTCACTTTTAAAAGATTTTCATGTTCTCCTTGTAGCTATAATGATCCAGCCTTCTATGAAGAATGCAAAATGGAATACCTGAATGAAAGGGAAGAATTCAGAAGAACTGGAATTCCTAGAAAGAAAAGGCTACAGAAGCTTCCTACAAGCATGTAGGCAAATATTCAAATGTCAGGAACTCTCTTATTCATAGAAATTATCTGTGGTATAAATCATGTGAAATAATGGATTCAAGATAATAATGTATGCTTCCTTTATCCTAATTAAAAATACTAATTATATATGAAATAAAGACTTTTATTCAAAATTTTGGTTTATTAAATATGTGGTAAGATTAAATACTGAAATGGAATATGGTTTTTCTGGTCATTCTGGATGTTTTTCCATGTTTCTCCACAACTGTAATTCTGTAACAATGCTAATAATTTTGAGAGTTCCATATGGATATTCCCTTTATGTATTATATAGGCTAATGGCTAAACATGGGAATCAAAGGTACTAAGGAATGAACCTTCAAAGGTGTTAATAACTATCAGTATAGCAGTATGGCTATGAATCAGAATCCTTCCTACCTTTATAGATCTAATGCTTATTACTAACTATGCAACTGTAGAAGTAAATTTCAGTTATTGTGAGGATTTACTGGATATTTCAAGTACACAGGAAAGTGCTTCAAGAGTTGAAAAATGGTCTTTAACTGGTAGTAAAGTCTTATTTGGAAATAAGATTATACGGAAATCTAAGAGACTATACGTTATAGGGGCAAACATGCCTACCTACGTTTTTGTATTACTGGTGCATTACCTAAAGCACAGTAGCTTAATTATTGCTTTTAATTACTCAACTGAAGAAACAGCAAAATAATTACATGAAGCTAGTGAAATACATAATCTGTGCTTTTTCAGATTTTTAATTAAAGTGGTCAACTTCAATCTTATATGTCAAGTTTACTTACATATATGTTACATTTTCCAGTTGCATAGACAAACCAGATTGTAATGAACTCGTCCTTTTTTTTAATGGCAAAAACTAAATAATCGTAGCCTTCAGAATATTCATGCCTCAACTTACTCAAGTCTACTTATGAGACTAGTTCATCTCCTCACATATATCTTGGTTGCTTATTGGTGCCTTTGCTTATATTTATGTTCCCACTTCTTAAGTCCTTAAGATTTACCCTTGACAGGTAGCTTTACTGGATGAAATCATTACTTTGTTGTCAAGTGATTCAGTTACTTCGTTGTGAAGTCTGAATTTTCCTTTTTTTTTTCTTCTAATGTACCATATAGATATGTCCCTGTTCTACATATGAATTCATTTCCATTTTAGTAATAAAAAGGAATCTTCCTTTTAGGGATTTAAACTTTACCTCAAGCTAGTAAGAGTGGAAGCCACAGGTGGTTTGTTTGTTTGTTTTTTTTTGGTCATTTGTATTCTTTTCATATAATTTGAGTAATGGAAGTGAATTAGATTATCGTACAAAAAGAAAATAAACAAAATTTTAAGGGAAGTGCTTTGCAAGTAAGTTGTGGCTAGTATGAAAGAGGTGAATATAAAATTTTAGATTTTAAATAATTATAAATTACAGATGTGCCAGTCATTTCTTTTTCAATCTGATGAGAACAGCAATTATTAAATTTCTGGCTGGATAAAAATATTTTTTGGTTACTATTTTCTTACTCACATTCTTCACCTCATTTACCTGTCAAGAAAAAAGTGACTGTCAAAAAAAAAGAGATTTTCTCCACTCAAAGTAACACAGTTTATCAAGACTACTGTCTGTTAGAAGAAAAAAATTAGTAACAATTACTACCAGACCTCCAGACCTTGCTGCATTTTGGCAAGGAGAGTATTTCATATTCACTTCGATTTCAAACAAAAATAATTTTAATTAATCCTTAGCATTGTTCATAACATTAATGAAGCCACTGTTTCCTAACACTTTTCTTTACAAAGCAAAAATCCTAACCTTATTTTTATAAAGTCAAACCAGTAAGCTACAGTGGGGATTAGAGATATGGCCTATGCAGCCACATGAGAAATAGCTTTTGCCACTTAGTTATTATACAGGTAGTTGCTTCCTTCAGCTAAAGCCTGGAGTCTTGCATTTGTTTTATGCATATTGGGTTTTGTTCTATTACTTGGCAGGAAGACTGTACTCCCTTGAGTCAGCTGTGTTCACTGGTCAGAATAAATTCCAGCATCTGACATCAATTCCATTAATCACAGACAAGCCTGAATACGTGAGATAATAGAAAGATAAAAATATGGTGAACAGTGAAGTGAACATTGTCTTATGTATGCTATCCAGTAATATAGAAGAGATATGAGATTTCTTTTGAGTTCAAGGTATATGAAACTTGCATGAAGGACCAAGTCTCCCTACCTGAAACACTTTATCCCAGGCAAAAATAGTATGAACCAAGTAATGTATTATTATTAATACTACTAACATTATTTCCAATATTCCTAATGCCTCAAATAATTTAGGTAACTTTCCAAGCAAAGCCATCTTTGTTATTTTCTTGTCTATGCAAATTATTGGCCAGTTAGAATGAGTTTAGGGCCATTTTATGTAGTTCTAGAATGAAAATGCCTAATTCAGTTAATTAAAAAATCACTTTCTCAAGTACTACATTTCAAAACAAAGTGTAACAATTTACAAGCTGCTTTATATAACAGGCAACTGTATTCCTTCTGAAGAAAATGTTACAGTTATACGTTTATGGATCACTGAAGGGATATAATAGACTGAAACCTAGGAGATGTCCTTTCTAACTAGTGTATAAAGTTACAATAGTTTATTCACATATTATGTCGTTTTTAATTATTTCATCCTTTTATTATTTTTGCTACTTAAGACTTGAATATTAATACTACAAAGTGGCCAAGTTATTTCAAGTCTGAAAATTCTAATTAGTTTAATATTTTATCTGCAAAAATTGTGACTAAGGAATGACTAAGTCTTAAACTCAGAAACACAACAGAAATGTAATAACCTAGACAGTTTTATTCCATTATATTTCATAATTTTATGCATCATAAAGTCAACAAGGATAATGTATTCACATTGTCATTTGCCCCTTTATGCAATCTGAACCAGTGTGCCTGGTTTTTTCTCCTGTAATAAACGCTTGCTTTTCTCTTTATGAAGGGATATTTAGGCATTTCTCATACTTTGTCAAACCATGTCCAAACATCTCCAGTTCTCTTCTTTTCTTATAGCAGATGTCACAACTGTTATCGATGGCATATTTATCTCTAAACACCTTAAACTTATTCACTAGTATAGTTAGCATATATTTGATTCTTAGAATATAGAGCTGAAGGGTGCTCTTCTTTTACTAGAAAATCAACTAATTATCATACCTTATGTTGACAGTATATACTGAAGAACTGCAAAATTTTAATCAAAATCCACTTTCAGTTTGTTAAATAATTTCTTGGGAGAACCAGAGGTACAGTGACCTCATGATCAAATCATGAATCTCTTCAGAATTAACTTTTATAAAGACAGTTTTGATTATGTTTATCCAAGTAATGCAGTGGCGGCAGGTTGGGTAAAGGCAAAGTTTTACTTTTAGTTTCCCCAAATGTTGTCTCACTTGATTTGGGAGGGCTTGGGAATACCCAAGAATTATCTTCCAGAGAATTTCTGCCGTAGGAGTTGTGTTCCTGAAAGTCCGTACCATCATTAGGAATCAATCTTTCATTATCTGTCCATGACTGCAGAAGTGCTTTCTCTGATGAAACCTTTGTGTCTCCTGATAAAGGGGAAGATACAGTATGACAAAGAGGTTTGCCATTTGGTGAGGGTGGCCCATGTCTTTTGTATGTTGCAGTGAAATTCGTCAAGTACAATTTCGTGCTGTCTTTCCCAAGGTCTTCAGTGCATCCAACTGGGGTGCAAGCTAAAAACAAAGCACAAAATCAGTGTCAGTTTTCCTGGCATTTGTGCTCACAGAATACCATAACACTTCACTAAATTTGGCTCAGTACTGGTAATGAAATTACCATTTCTAAGTCAGTATGATCAAACAATGGGATTTGTAGATAAATTATGCATGATCTAAAGTCTAGTCATTCAGCTGTTTTTGGTGCCCCTTTCCTTACTGAAGATGGATATAGCAGTCCTGTCCTGCCAATGTCAGAGAGTATTAAAAGACGAATTACATTTAAGAAAAGTTGCAAACCAATAAAGTTGAAATACAAGATCCCATTCTTGGCACTTAATCTGGCTAGTGAAGGCCACATGTCTTTTGAGTGTCAGTGGGGGCTGAGAAAGGTGTTTTTGTTTTAAATAGGATTTTCCTTTGTTCTTCTAACCATTTTTCCATTAGCAGTCCAAAAGTATGTGTTTTGAGAAATAATTGACATTTATTATATATACAAAGGCTTTTATAGAGAAAACGGTTTAAAAGTTGTAAAATAATTCTACTTCTTAAGATTTTATGAATTATGCTGTGATCATAAGATCAAGTAAAAAATGCAAAAAATGTTTTGTGTGCGGGAGTGGGTTGGAATAAGACTACAACTAGAACATTGGTAATATGGGCTTCTCTGTTACTAATTCAACCTCAGTCTATCAGATAGACTGGAAAGATAACTCTAGCCCAAGGACAGTTAAGTGTAACTGACTGACTCCATGTAGTTTTAGAAGACTCCATGGTGTTTTAGAAGAAACAAATGCAACTACATTATAAAATAAGCTGTTCTTCTAAGGAGGGTGGATAGAAATGGGATAGAATTGGAAGTAATTAGGTGTAGTTTCTGGACAAATGACACATAGGTCAGGGAAAACAGTGATGTATGATCTTATGTCTGTTTCCTAGAAAACAGTGAACTCCATAGTAAAAAATGGTGATTTGTGTCTGGTACTGTTAAAGGTAATGTGTTAGAGGAGTTGATGTCCGAAGCATCAGGTGTATCATCAACCAACTAAGAAGGAACACAGGATAAACTACTCCCAAGTATGGACAAGAACCTTTTATTATTCTTTAGAAGTTGTAGTTACTACTTAAACAAAGAGCCATACTGAAAACTCACTAAAATTTTTCTTCCCAATGTGCAGCATTTTCCCTAATAGAATACCCCTGAGAAAAACTGTAATTCTCTAGTACTCTTTCAGACAATCTGAAGTGCAAATAACCATTTTAAATTAGGTGGTATCTTTTATCCTGTCATTCCATTTAAAAGTAAATCTTAAGGTATTCAAATATACATGACCTTTTAAAATCTATTATTTCATAGCAGATAAAAATGTACTGTACTGTTTTTCGCAAGGTATAAAAATAGCTTCAGCCACTACGACCTGTAGCTAACCCAAAAATCAGAAAGTTTGGTCAGCCAAGCAGTTAAATACAGAATGAAAAGCCATTAAAAATTTTGCTGGAAGAGGATAAAGGAAAGCATCTAGTTTCCCTCCTATCCAGTTGTTAGGAAAAATTACTAAAAATCCAAACACCAAAATAATGAATCAAAGTTACTGTTCTAAAAACAAAAAGCAAGCTCTTCATTTACTTGGTAGCACTGGCATTAAAAATTGCTTTAGGATTTTTTGTTGTTTTTTTAAGTATATGAAGTAGTTGTGGTAAAAGGTCAAGTAGAGCAAACTTAACACCTCACCCTTATACACATAAGCAACACTTGGCTGAGAAAAGCCACAAGGGAAAAAGAATACAGTACTGAAGAAAAAACACATCAGCAACACCTCTATGTGTGAAGCTGACCAGTATGAGACTGAAGCCAAAGCAAAGAATGGGTAGGCTGAGAATATACTATATATACTTCTTATCAAACTCATTTGATGAGATTTTGGTAAGATACAATAGCTAGTTGCTCTTCAAGCAGTTTGGCTGGAATCAGTGGTTTCCGGCAAACAGTGACTTGCCTTTTTTAATTGTGGTTGAGGCTTTCAGTTTTCTTAGTAGTTCAGCTTGTACTTGAGTCACCAGATGTAAATTAGACATTTCCCTCTTCAGTTCCCAGTATGCATGTTGCATATTATCACTGAAATAAAGGTTTTTATAAAAAAAAAAAAATTCCCATCAGTCTTCATGGTAAAAAAGGAGTAACTTTAGAAATAAGCCAGATGTGCTGGCAGATGCCTATAATCCCAGCACTCAGGAGGCTGAGGCAGGAGGACAGCTGGAAGTTGGTGGCCTACCTGGACTACAAAGTGAGTTCAATGCCAGCTTGAACAGCACAGTGAAACCCTGTCTCAAAAAGACAACCGATGTACATTTCTGTTCCAATTAGTTTTGTGATAATGTAAATTAAACAATGGGAAGATACTTAATTAGGACATTGTAATAAGTCAAGATACAATGTTCTCTTCATTTCTATCAATCACATGTACTGTGTTAAACCGAAGATTATAATAATCTATTCTAATTCAGGAGCTTATAAATCTCACACCTGAGATTTCACTATAGCCTATACTGTGCAGTGGTTTTAATGTAATTAAGTAGTAAGGAATATGCTCTTCATTCATAAATCTGCACAAGGATAAAGTTATATTCATTTATATATTCATGTATTTTAAATTTGCATTTGTTTGATTTTGACATTATGGACTGAAATGATGTATCAACTGCAAAATGTATACCCAAGTCTACATTAAAATAAAATGTAGGCTTCATGTATCACATTCTTTTATGTCTGACTGGGCTGTCTCATACTGTTGGTTCTAAACCAATGTGACATGACAGCACAAGATATGAAGAGCCAGATGATTTCCTCATAAGCTGAAGGAAGCTAGAGAGAGCGATTTATATTAACTGAAACTTTTAAAATGTCTTTCAGATTTTTATAATTAAAAGTATTTTACCTCAATGATCTGAGGAACCATAGTTATTTTAATTTTTAAAGGTTTAATTTTTCCGTAAATAGTTTTACTTAGACATTCATGGTTTTCTTCAGCTTAAGTGCCAAATGAATTGAAATCTTCAACACATATTTTCATTTTGTTGTACACGGATATATACTATATTAAGAATAACTGATCTCATAGCGTTCAAATAGCCATACTGATCTCATAGCTGATATAACTGATCTCATAGCATTCAAATAGCCGTACTGCTTTGTAGAGCTATCTATGTCAAACTAAACAAGTATGTCACCACATGCTTTAATTTTTTTCAGCCACAAACAAAAAAAATTACAAAAGGACAACCCTTCTAAAAATCTAAGTATTATCCCCTACTAGAAGAGCAACAGATGTATTAAAAAACAATTATTTTTCCAATTCTACTGAGGACTATAATTCATTCAATGTAAGTAGTACAATATACTTTATACTGCTTTGGAGAAAATTCCACTTGTTTTAGTCTGTTTTGAATGTCATTTGCTAATTCACAGTGTATTAAAAATCACAGGGATTTTTGCAGGTTTTTGATAGGTGTGAAACAATTACCTCACAAAAATCAGTTAACCAACTCTACTTCACCAGCTAACATCTAAGATGTTCACTACAGAAGAATATTTTACATAGAAGCCTGTTTTAAATGGGAAGATGTTAAGAGAACTGCTGATTCCTAGTGCAATTCTGGGCATTCAGTTCTTTCGAAAGAGTTACTCAAAGTATATGGCAGTTAAGTATACACACTGTACTTGTGCTAATTCATGCAGTCATAATGTGACCAGTATCATTTAAAAACAGTTTATTATTGGCATGAGATGGCAAATCAGTATCAGATTTGAAGAAAAGAAAATACCATGATCATATTTGGGTAGAGAAATACCAAGCACATCTAATCATTTAAAGTACATAGGCATGTAAAACAGAAAAGGAACAATTATGAAAGTGTCAAGTGTCTAATGGATAATGGATATTTTTCAATTCAATTTAATGCAGACCACTTAAAATTAGGTTGAAAATTAGGTCATGGAGTGTAACACCCATCTAGTGTCTTTTCGTCTTTTCTTTTATTGTCTTCTGAATTGAAAACTAAAAACATAAAAATCTAAGATTATTACTAAGTATAAGCTCTCCCTCTTGTGGATACCAAAGTAATTGCAATTACTGTTACCAGTTTTACAGTTGACAAATCCTCAAAGTATATAAAATTATTTTTAATTCTATCTACATTAAGGAAATGTTTAAACCATTACTTAGGAGAGAATGGAAAAGGCAAGCTGTTATTTTAAATCATTAGCAGGATTTGAACTAGCCCTGTGAATTATTAAGTATTTTACCTAAGTATTTTTAATTTATGCATTTTTAACTATGCATAAATTACCTGCCACCACACTGTAGTTTGTGATCTGGGAATATAAAGCTTTAAATAACACAAGCAAAAATCCTACTAAGGTTGTCTATGCAGAACTATATAACCATACCTGAACACTGAAATGTAACACTTAAGCATTCCAAAGAGACTCCCTGCCTAAATATTATCAATGAAACAAAAAGGACAGCTGAGCATTTATTAAGTGCTAAACATTTCACCCACATTCAACCACTTCGGCAAGCGAGTGTAACCTCATTCTGCACAGAAGGCAACAAGTTCAGGAGTCTACCCCAACCTACTATGCAGTTGCTTGTCCAAGCTGTCTTTTACCAGTGCAATCTAATGACTGCTCACTGCTCCTGTGGAATAGCATTTTTCATACAAACTTAAAGTGCCGACCACTGACACAATCTTCTTAGCCGCACTGTAAAACTTCACACCTCTGACATTTAATGAAGCCTGACTGTCTGCAATTTATGAAAGGATTACATGTCCTGATTATAAGTAAAGCTGTTTTCTTAACTGACACTATACAGTCAACTGTTTTGTATAGAAACTTTCTATTAATGATTATATCCTAAGAACTAAAATTATACTAAGGAATGTTCATAGCCAAAATCTATAAAATTTAAAATAATGTATTTTGACAATTTTGATTCACCCAAACAAATATCTTTTAAACACTCTGATTGCAGACAGCAATCTTCGTACACTGCAATCCAAAAAAGTTACAAAGACATCACACATACATTTGTTGTGTACTCTGATACATAATGCTTTGTTTTATTCTCCATCTTAAAAAAGCCTGTTATATCACAAATTTTCATGATCAGTAAGGAAACAGGGTGAACTGTAATAACCTAATCTGTATTTTCTAAACCAAGGATTTACATATTCATGCATCATCTGTGACAGATGCACAGTAAGTATACAAATGAAAAAAGAAGGAATCTTGTACCCAGATCTGGCTTAAAAACTGAAGTCATCATTTTAAAGCTAACACCAAAATAAGACAAAGAATACTGGCTGAAGTTCTCAGAAGGCTATTATTAAATGATCTTTTTATACAGTAAGTACTTTATAAAAGACCTCCAGTAATTCAAATGTTCGATCTGTCTAAAAAAAAAAAAAAAATGCAATGCATTGTTTGCCTGGCAGTGTAGTAATTTTTAAAAAGAGGAGTGTTCACCAGAGGAAATTTTCCAAATAATTGAAAAATACTTTTTAAAATATCTAAACCTAGAAATATTTCCATATACTTTAATATAATAAATTTATCATATGAATTAACCTTCCAACCAATTTGTAAAAATCCCAGTCCCTCTCATTCCTAGGCACACTTGGGCACTAAAGGGGAGCCCTTAGGACCTGCTTTAATTAAAATGTTCTTTAAATATAGCATACTGTTGGTATGTCCTTAGAACATAGGACTGGGTTCAATGGGCCCATCCCTTTTCTACTGTTAATTTGTACTTTAATAGTAGCTGGCTGTGCATCTCAGCACCTCTCCCTGAAGGATACAGGAAGCAAGCTGTGTGTACCCACCTGGTATGGTATGATGAACAGCACAGAGTGTGCATGTGTGCAAAAGTGTCAAAATGGGATTTGGACTCAACTATATGCTCTGCCTAATTGGTTTTGCATATGTTTGCTCAAGCATCACAGAGGGCCCAAGAGACCCACACTACTCTAAGCTCTGTTAAAAAGGTTTTGATTTTTCTGGAAGTAGCAGCCCAATTTGGTACAATGGCACATAAAAAAATAGATTTGCAAATTTTGGAGAAGGTCAAAAGTGAATCATCAGAGTACTCATGCATGACTGATGAAGATGACCCATTATGGTAAAATGCATGCTTTCGTAACAGAAAAGTGGTGTGAGTACATGACAATGATGACTGAAATGTTCACCATGTGAGCCAGTTCCTGGGACAGTGAAATGGAGCAAGAATCAACTTATAAAGACAAAGGGAATGCAGACTTCCTTGATTCAGATGACAAAACAGCAATGTGAATATATATTTGACTAGTCAAAGTGCTGCAAAATGGCCATACAACCAAATAGTAATACAATTTTAGAACTAGGTCTGAAAATATAGTGAAGGTCTCGGCAGACGTGAAACATATTGGACAGAATGCCAGCACTGCCATTCAGTGTTGGAAACTGTAACAGACAAAGTACTATAAGATGCTGTGAAATACACAAATAAGTAAAACTTTCTATAAGCAGCAACAGCCATATTAAAAATGTGTTTATTATGACACCTTCCTAACTGAACTGAAATCCCTCATAGGGCTCCTGTACTTAGCAGATTTCGCATGGTGATCACAGCAATGTAAAAGACTTCTGGAAAAATGATGGGTCAAAATATGGCATACAAATTTACGCCCTTGTTGATGTGAAGACTTATTTTTCTTTCAATTTAGATATTTATCCTGGAACTGAGCCTCAGGTCCTTATTCGTATAGGTTATAAACTGAATGATGTTGTGAACACACTTGCTCTTATTCCCAAACTGGAATGTGACACTCCACAACTGGTTTTACCAGTTTCCAATTGATGTTACATTTCCTAACAGAGCAGAAATTGACCAGCACAGGAACTGTAGGCAAGAATAAGGCAGAAATTTCAAATGAAAAAATGTTGCAACTTCAAAACTGAGAGCTGTTATAGTACAATCCTTTTACTTCAGAAAGTTGTAACATTAGACTCGTATATGGCAAAAAAAAAAAAAAAAAAAGCTGATGTCAACATTTCACCATGATGGAAATACCGATAGAGAAACCTCAACAACATGGAAGCCTGAGATGGAAATTTCAACAGAATGTGAAGCAGATGTTGTTGAGTTATACAGCAACTGTGATGTCACTTGAAACACAAAGCACTGGCCAATGGTATGGTTTACTCAATCTTACTTGATCCTAAACACGTGTGGCATAGTTTGGTAGTTTACAAAGAAAATCAGTGCAAACTATCACAGAAATTTTCTTAGAGGACTGGGACAGCAGAGGAAAAAGAAAATGTTTCTGCCCAGGGAACTACACCAAAAAATTGTGGAGCACACTGGTAAGCTGACAGGCAAACAAAGAGGCACAGAATCACAAAGACCTACTATAACAGGAAAGCAAAGATGTCCACTGCGCCCTACAAGAAAGTACAGAAAACAAAACACAGATACTATCCGTGTTAAGCGGCACTTGTGTTTGGAACATGCAGTTATTATATGTGTGAAGACTGCCTTGGGTGTGACAGTTAAAGCAAAGTTTATTTTTGTGGTAGACTTTTGTTTTAGTAGTGGGAACCAGACTCAAGACCTTGTGCTTGCCAGGCAGGTGCTGTGCTGTTGAGCTATATCCCTGGCCCCTTTTTGTTTATATTTACACTGTAGTTTACATAGGTTTTTATTTTTGAAGTTATCATTTAGGTTTTATAAGTAAACAGCTGATAATGAAAATGTTGATGTCTATTCGGAGCACTCATTACATATATATTGTGTTTTATTGGTATTTTATTTCCCTAAGTGCATGTTGTACAATAGGAAGCTCTGAGAAAGACAGGAAGAAGTGACAAGACTGCCATATAGGAAAGGAAAGCTAAGCACACCTGCTGTCAGTGTAAGTGATGCTTGTGTATGGAACATGTAGTTGTCATGTGGGAAGACTGCCTTGGGTGTGACAGTTGAAGCTAAACATTTTTTTTTTTTTTTTTTTTTGGTTTTTCTCCGGTACTGGGAACCGAAAAAGCTAAACATTTTTATGGTACAGTTCTATTGTCATTTTCATTGTAGTTCACATAGGAATTTATTTCTGATGTTATCTTTTAGGTTTTGTAAGGAAGTACACAACTGATGTGAAAATGATGTCTATTCTAAACACACAATACATATTGAGAATGTAATAGTTTATTTTATCGATATTTTATGTTCCTGTTAACCACACACTATATAATAACCTCCTGACAAAACAGCAAGACCACTGAGATTTCAAGTATGTCCTACAAAAAGGTCAGGAAAGCAAAAGACATATGCTGTCAGTGTAAGAGATGCATGTGTATCAAATGTGCTGTTGTCATGTGTGGACTGCCTTAGGTGTGATAACTGAAGTAAAGATTACAGTGCTATTGGTATTTTCATTGTAGTTCATACAGGAATTTATCTCTGATGTTCTTTTTATTAGACTTTGTATACCAAAAACAAGTCAATGTTGAAAATTTTGATGCTTTTTATAAACAATACTTTGTGATAGCTTCCTGTTAAGTACTTAATATAATGAACCTTATAAAATTAAAATTAATAATTCATCAATAGAAATACTCTAAAGAGTAAGTGTGGGTCTGACACATTTATGTACCTTGATAAAGTCAGTCCTATGCTCTAAGGGTTACCACAAAGTACTTTTAGACTAAATTTAGTTAAAGTAATACCTTCTAAAAATTGTTTCCTTTAGATGATCCTCAGAATTGATACTGAACTTTAGAGAATTAAAGACTGTAGTTTGTTGACATAATTATAGTGCCACAATTTTAAAAACTGGACTTAGCTGATTGGTTTTTTAACCTTCCCAAATCCTGGCACAGAGATTGTTCACTATCTTGATAGGTTATCTAGTGCTTTGACACAGAAATTGTGGGGAGGGGTGTGAGCAGGAGGCAGCTTTTCAAAATATTCTCCAAGGAAATGATCCAAATTATGCAATCCATAATGAATGGAAACAAAAGTCTTATTCTACACCATTTATATGTAATTTGAGTTACTCTGATTCTGGCTTATTTATCAATTCTTGGATATGATTTGAAGAGGTTTGTAAAAAGGACAAACAAGGTAAGTTATAAGAAAAAGTTTACATGGACATGACATTTAGACACATTGGTGGGGAAAAAGAGAAAGACTTCCTGGTCGTAAGTGCAGATAAAATTGTGAAGGCATAATTGAAATTTGTTCAAACAGGAGAGTTGAGTAATGGCACCAGACTCTATGGCCAGCAATAAAGCCTGGTTACTTTACAGAAGAAGTCTGCCCACTTCTGATCTGGAAGAGTAGCTGCAATTTCCTCAAAGTTCCTCAAATTGTTTTCTCTAGTTGATCTTCCTCTGAAGCAAGCTTTTGATAGGAATAAGTCTGAGACGATTCACAGTTTATTTAGGTTAATAAACTTGGAAAGCCAAATGATTTAACACTGCAGTCAAATCAGTAATTTTCACTGGATGGAAAGTATACATGTAGAGAGGCCATCCTAACATAGCAGAAACAAAATTAATTCATTTAAAACAAAGGTGTCACTTCAATAAAAAGGATCAAGATAAATAAGTAATACATGAACTCTGACAGCTACTTTAATTAAAAGGAACACTTCTCTTATAATTCATGGTATCACAAAGACTGAGGTTGTCCAAGTTTATTCTTAAGACAAAAGTGTTTTGGAAATGTGTAATTCCTCATATACAAAATCATGGATTACTATTGAATACTTCCACAAAGCTAATTCCTTAAAATTGTAACTAAAATACTACTTAATATTTAAAAATTTTAAGACATCAAAATGTGTACCTCTCTAATACTTAAGCTCAAGCCTGTTATTAAATATTTTTTAAAAATATATCTCACCAAAGGTTATATTTAGCATCCAAAGAGTATCTCTTTGCTTTTTTTAAGGTTAAATCCTAACAGAAATCTAGGTACAAACACAAAGTAACCTATGGAATTAAACACATTCTAATGGTGAAGAATGTTCATACCTTGAAATGCTTAGTCTTTGGAGATCGCTACTCTTCAGATTGTCTTCCTGAGATGAATCCTGTCATTTGTTTAAAAAATAAAAGTTAAAAAGTTGAATTATTTTCTATTTCTTCCCAGCTCTTTATGGCCAGAGATATGTTTCAACTTTAACAAAACACATCTCAACAGTACAGAGTAAAACTAGATTTCATATTCAACTTTAACAAAATACAACCAAGCTATCTCATAAAGTTCTAAATCATTTTGATTTATCTAGACCATTAATGATTTAATTTTTTCAAAAATAAAACTACTCTCGCATAGAAGAAATTGGAATCTTACAAATTTATTTCTGAGCATACTAATCTTAAGTCTATATTTTAAAAAGTATCATATATTTTTAAAATTATTGTTTTTCAAGGTATATATATGAATGAACTCCACGAGAAAATGGAAGTTTTTCGGTTATTTCATGTTTTTGTATTATGACCAAAAAGTACTAAGTTACTGTTTAGAAACATCAGCATAAATTTCCTCTCTCCACAGATACAAAATAAACTGGCAAGAACTTCATAAAGTCCCTATACTTCTAAGTTAAGAAAATCAAATTTAATTTTACTTAAATTATAAGTTTTAAGGTGAGTATTGAAAACTATATAAGACTGATCAAACCATTAAAGATCAATCTTATATAGTTTTTAATGTTCCCTTTAAAATTATCTGGTAATCTGAGCTACTTCGTTGACGATAACAATATGTAATATAACAACCACTGTTAATTCCTATCATTTTGTTTTGAAATTCTGTATCATTTTTATTATTTTTGTGTTGCTTTGTTTTTGTTTTTTGTGATTTTATATTTTTTCTCTTTAAAAAAAGAACTTTATGAGTACTCTGAATGTCAGACAGTAAAATAATAAAAATGCTTCTTACAGGAGTTAAAGCAGTTTCGAGTCTCTAATTTTAATACTGCTAGAGCTTAAACTGCACAGTGGAGAGCTCTATGGAGGAAGGCGTAACAGAATTCGCCCATCAGTCAGGGGAGTTATGACCCTACCAAAGCACATACCCTTGAATATTGTTCTTTCCTAATCTGCACAGGAATCAAATAAACCAGTACTTTTAGTTTCTTTGTATCATTAACTTAAAAATAGTTTCACTAGTGTATACTTATATGTATATGTTCAATGGAAATTTTCCTTATTTTTAAAGCCAAAAAAAAAAAAAAAAACATCTGACAGTTTGGACAAGAAAATAACTCCAGCTACGAACAACTTAGAAAAGGCTAATGTAAATCAGCAATAAGCTTGAAGAGGTTGTTTCCAATATTCAAAGATTTTTCATGGCCACCAATCAGTTTGCAGTTTTGAAGGCAGTAATAGATGTTTCCTAACCTGTACAATATGATATAGAAGTCTAACATAAACGAGTATTAGGAAATAATGTTCACACTATACAGGTTCCCATACTACAGGACTTCTCAGAACTTTTCATACCCTACAGCTTACTGTAAATCTCTACATAGGCTATTATTAAGAAACTCAAACATCTTCTGTATCAACTCCATTTTACTGATCTAGTGTTTCTTATACTTTTTAGCTCTAGAATTTTTATTTTTCCTGGTTATCAATTGTTCTGAACGTAAATGCTGGAATACTGAAGACACAGAACATCTTAAAAGTCCTTAGTGTAACTAACTGCTTTTGAAACCTTGACCTAACACTAAACAGTAGCTAAATTCACTAAACACTAAAAAAAAACAAACAAAAAATAAAACAGCAGTAAGTCCATGTAGGATGCTATTATATACTTCGAGAGGTACTAAAAGTATATTTCACATAAAGTGCCATCTTAAAAACATTTGCAAACATGGTTGCAGTAGATATGTTTATGTGAACAGAATGTCCTTCTTTGGCTTGCTCTCAGATTCCCACATCCAAGAGGATTCTAATCAGCAACACCGCTGAAACAAGACATTTACTAAAAGATACTCCACAGTAATGAGATTTCAACTTGGGATACTTAATAAGTTGTTATCTCCCCTATTCCTTTTCTAGATTCATTTCTTTATATTAGGATAGGCATTGTTTTTTCACAGCCTCCCCCCCCCACCACTAATAAATGCTTACCAAAACAAGGACTGTGTTTGAAATCTTTTTTTCTCCCCTTTCAATATTCCTACTTAATCTCACCTTCAATTCTTTAAAAGTTTCTTGTTTCTCAGATTTAGTTTCATCATCAGTTAAAGCGATTTTTAAGTTCTTCTAAAACTGCTTCTGTGATCTCACTGCTTAGGAATGATTTAAACTAAAAGTAAATTTATTCCCTAGCACCATCTAGTGGAAAAGAACAACCAGCCAGGAATGAAATTTTACCCATAACCTTTAATACACAGACAGTTAAATGCACTGCCTTTCTGGATTAGTCTAACCAATTTTTTTCAAAAACATTAACTTACTGAAGACAGTATGTATGTCCTGGGCACTATGCTAACTGCTTTATATATAGCAATTTAATGTTCATGAAAAAAAAAATAGGTACTTAATGTCCATAGAAAATAAGTTCTTTGAAAAGTGAAATGATGTTCCTAATGGTATACAGTTAATAAGCAATGCAAATTATGAGCCAGATTTCCATTATTCCATAACACTGCTTCTTACTTTACAATGAAACATCCTTAAAAACTATCAAATTACTTCCTTTCAAGTAGAATATACATACTATCATGATCCAGAGCTTTAAATTGCAAATATTTTCTTACACACGTCTTTTTAAAAGGCTCTCAGAGGCCACGTAATGGGCTTGTGCAACAGGAGGGTAGAGGCCTCTGAAGAAATGGTGGTATGTGCTGGCCACATTCCAAGCTGGGAGAATCAACTTCCAATGTCAAACAGGAAAACAAAAACCAAAACAACACCCTTTTTCCTCTAACAAGAGTTGACAACAATTACCAATGCTTCGCCTTTATAAGATCTCCAAAGTGGGGGCTCCAAAGTAAGTTCTCGCTGCCCTGTGCAGTAGAATTCATCTGGTTAAGGCCAAGACATAAGGCTATTTTATTCTTACACCTGGCTCGTTCTTAGCCAGTAGTCACCCCTGCTAAAGATTATGGAGAGGTAAGTGTTGGCTCCACAAAAGGACATTAGGGATTCAGGCAACACCCTGGCTGGCAGTGAAGAAGTATGGGAAATACTTCCTTTTTTTAGACAGTGGTATCCCAGAAGAACAGAAAAATAGGAGACACAGTTCCTTAATAGTGCTGAAAAGCTACACAGAAGAGTTCAGTACAGGATTACTGAACTGTTTATATTATACCCAGTTTGGATTACAAAGTGCCATGAACTGGCTATATACTCCAGATTAGTAAGCTTCAATTTCTAACAACTATTTAAAATCTTTCATTTGGTGCACAGCTCTCACTCTCCCTTGTTCCTACATCATTTTCTTTGTTGTCCTTAGCACTAAATGTCATGACATCTGAAAAAATGACCGTGTTTGTTAGAAACCAAAGTAATATATTAGTGAATACACTCCTGGTGAGACCCTGAGAGGTACCTTGTGTCTTAGTAGATGACTTTAGGCTAAGCACACTACAGAAGCTTAGCAGGTTTTTTTATTCTCCAACTCTGGAATTCTTAGCTATTTCTTGATAATTAAAATTGCTCTAAAACTGTATCTTCTAAAAAACAGGGCCTATAAAGCTTTCTTGCTACCTGACGGTTTTTCTTTAAAGAACTCTAAAAATCAAGTTGTCTCTTGCAATTTGTAAATAAATCAAATCAAGTTAAATAAAATGGGAAAGTTGAAAGTTGAGTTCCTTTTAAACATTACAGGAAAAAAAGAAACTAAAGGAAAGGGAGTTTGAAAGAACTGTTATATAACTTAATAGACACTTTAAATCTTTTCCAGAAACAAAATTATGTAACTCTAGGGTCAAACTAAAAATACATAGTATAAATTTTAACAGAAATAGTTAAAGACGATAAATGAGTTTTTGACTGAATAAAAACATTCCTAAGTACTTATAATTAATGATAATTGTATATCATTTTAAGTGCACAAAGAATACTAAATTTTTCAATTTAGTAATTTTGTAATACCATTTGTTTGGCTTTTTGTAGCTCTACTTTGAGATCATTACATTCTTTTTTCATCAGTTCCAGCTCTTGTTCCAAACAATGGATCTTCAGGTCACAGCTCAACTTTTCTACCTCCCAGTTTGATGAAGGTGGATTTAAATTCCTCATCACTACAAAAAGGATTAACATCAAAATTGTTATCTGTGCTTTTTGCACTGACTGATTATAATTCTAAAATAGTTATGATAGTAAAATATAGATCAGAGAAAAACGAATATAAAACACACAAGAATTAACAGTTTTTAAGGACAGTAATTACTTTTAAAAAGCTATGCTGAGAATAAGAAAATCTAATCCTGTTATAGAATGTATTAATCACCCACCTCTAGTTTCTATTTAAATTCAAGTATAAATTTGTCAGCTTAGACTTTTTAAAGATATCACACTAATCATGTATACGCTTAAATGTAGAAAGACTGATAATCTATTCTGTATAAGCCAGAATTAAGATATGTATGAAATTCATAAGCTGAGACTCAGTTAATCATTTCATTTAGTTACTTTAGAGTACAAAGCTTGGCCAATAGCCTAGAACATGGTGTCAAAACAATTCTATTGATAAACACTCCACTGCAGAAACTCATTACAAGTAGATATTGTTTTACCTTTGATACGGTACTTTAGTCTCTCCATATACAAAAAGCTCTAAAGAGTTATCATAAGTGATCTATTAATTTTCTATCAAAAGGTATCTCAGGGGCCTACTCTTTAGCTTATAAGAAAAGACTCTTAATCCATAACCATAAGACCAAACTATCCACCTTAACTTTTCATCTGTATCTTTTAACAATCTTTAGAAAGAAATAAATAAAAAAAGGAAATGAAAGTACTTCATAGGTGTTTCTAAAAAGTGCAGTAAAAAGGGTAAGGCAGGACATAACCAGTGAGGTAGAACTTCTGATTTAAAGCTGGGGTTTCACTCCTTTCCTCCTCCATTTCATCAAAAACTAGCCCTGAATAAAAACCATCAAATTTAAAGAAAAGTACAATTTCTAGCGAAGAAAAAGTTAAACGAAACTGATATTGTGAAAGCAGAACAGAAAAATTAACATATGCCAAAATTAAAAATAAGGTAAGGCCATAGAATATATAACTGACAATAACACACAAAGTAAAAAATGTATTAATTCTGTTAGCATTTTTATAACAAGTGGCATACCCTGTTGAGTTTCCACCTCTGTTCTCAGCTGAAGGAGTTCTACTTCTTTAGATTGTAGCTGCTCATTCAATACTTTCAAAGATTCAGAGTTGTCTTTATTCTATTTAAGTAGGGAAAATGCCAAATTACATTCAATAAAATCTGTGTCTATATCCATATATGTCTATATATTGGTATTGTATCTTAATTATCAGATAGATATTAAAAAACTTATTCTAGCCTTTAAAAGTAAGTTAGAAAAAATGAACTCAGTTTTTCACTAATCTCTGCTCTTTGTCTCAGAACATTATTACTCATCAGCTTTTTTCTTATAAACACAGTTCTACTATGGCATGATTTATCAAAATAAATTAGTGGTGTTAGATGTATTTCAGTCCTAAACATCATTACAAACTTATTACTTACTTTTGTATTGAAATATGCTATAAATACAACTTGAAAATTTCCATTTAGCCTTGAACATGTGTATTTAAATTTCTAATTAATAAATATAAATATTCAACCTCATTTTTAAAAACCTCTTGAAAGAGAAAACTGATTGGTAACATAAAGGTTTTTTTTCAGACCAACTTACCATTTTATCCAATTTGCTTTTCAAATTATCTCTATCAATGCAAACCTCTCGATATGCATGATAGGCCTTATTTACTTGTTCTCGTCCCACAGAACTGGTTTCTTCATCTAATCGAGCTCCTACAAGCTAATGGTATGAAATTAGAAAAGAAAGCTTTAGAGGATATACTACACGGGAAAGTAAGTCTGATGGCTCTACTGCTTACTTTAATAGTAATGTAGGGATAAAGCCCAATCTATAATACAGTATTTCATTTCTAAGCAAGTTATCTTTACTGATTGAGAAAGCAAAAAAGTACAGAATACACTTAATAATTTTTCCATGCTTTTACTTATTTTATACTTCATAGTATGTGTTTTATAGTACATTAAATCATCATACTACAACATAGTACACCATTCTTTTAAAGTGCTTAGGCATTTCCCAAGTCTACTGTGTCTCATTTCCATCATCTGAAAGAAAAAGTGTCTAGTTAAGCCATATCAACATTTTAAGAGGGGCTGGGGATTTAGCTCAGCGGCAAAGCGCCTGCCTGGCAAGCGCAAGGTCGTGAGTTCGGTTCCCGGTACCGGAGAAAAACCAAACCCCCCCCCAAAAAAAAAAAAAAAAAAAACATTTTAAGGAAAAAGACATGTCAGGTTATTCACTCTTGTACTGCTTCAGAATAAAAATTATTAGGCTTCTAAGTCATAAAATAAAGAACTATTTCCAACGTTATCCACCAAATCCCACTTTTCAACTAATTTTAAGATATAGCTATGAGCACCAAAAAGTTACCATCTCTCACTTTATTCTAGTATACCACAAATTTAAACACTATTAAATTCATATGAATGGAAAGAAATTACAATTTTTACAGCTGATTCCCCGCATTTTACTTCATCTCTATGAACTGAACACTACCATGCTCCATCCTGAAGTTATTTTTTTGATTCAGCCACACTGTCTCTCTCTTACTCCCCCAAAGGATGCGAAGACCAGTCATCAAGGCAAATGGCAGTTGCAGCAAAACAACACCAAGAGCCAGACAACACTCTGTGTCTTCCTTGTGCTTTCTGGTGCTCTATATATTCTGAGAACTTCTCTAGGAAGAAACTAGAGGAACGATCCCTGAAAGTATAGTCTTTTGAGTTTTTTAGTACAGGATAATTATTTTCTTAGGTTGCTAGAAACTCATTTTCTTAACCCTTTGTGCAAGTTGCTTTTTGTAAACTATAAATCTGATCTGAATATAAACTAAGATTAAAATAAGCCTTGAAAATAAATGGACAAATGAGGAAGATTTGCCAATTTATAAAATCAAATAAGCGGTAATTTATACTGAATTAGCTACTTCATTGTATATTTCATAACGTTTATAAGCAGCATTCTAAATGAAAAAAATAAAAGGCATTTATTTATCAGTTAAAACCATTATTTACATTATGTGTGGAAAAGAAAAAAGTGAATGCAGAGGTAAAGATTGTGGTCTTAGTGAAGAACATACTAAACTAATGTTCTAGCAGCTTCCTCCTTTAACACTTAATTACCTCCACCAGTATGTCACTTTTTTGCACAGATTTGAACATTCTGAGTAAGACTTTTGCAGCTATGAAGGTGAGGTAATTCTGAGAAAAGAAGAAAAAAAAAATCTGGAATATAACTTTTCTAATTTGCTAAATCCTATCCTAAAAATATTTGCTAAGCACATGACAAATGAAACAGTATGATAATGTTAGTGCCTAAGAATTAGATTCATAGTAAGTTGTCCTTGGAATTTAGTACAATGAAGGACTACAAAGAAGAAAATACTTAATATATCATGTCTTTTAAATTACTATTTATATCATAAAACATGATGAAAGTAGAAGAAGAAAATTACCTTTTCTTCCAAAAACCGTATTCTCTTTTTTAGGAACGAGTTCTCTTTCTCTGAATCATTAAGTCGTTTTTTGATGTCTTCATAAGCAGTAACAAGGGCAAAATGTGAAGCAACAGACTCATCTCCTGAATATATTGAAACTGGAGTCACTGTATCTCTTCTATGAGCTTTTTCATGATTCAGAATGCAGATATCATCTTCTACTAGTGCATCCATGACAGCTATTTAAAAAAATGAGCAGGAAAAAAGATATATTTAGAAGTGACTTACTGGGACAGTGCTTACAATGCCAATTTTCTTTTAGAAGCAGTAATGTACAATTGTTAGGAGCATAGCTGCTTGGTTTGTAATCCACGTTCTAGCATGTAGAGTTTTTTAAGCTTGTGCAAGTTGTTTAAAATCTCTGCCTCAGTTGCCTTATAAAGTTCAGGCAAGGAACTACCTCATAGCCTTAAGAATATTTAATGATTAATAGCCATAAAACATTTAAAACTACCATCTATTAGAAAGTCCTACAAAATTCTGCAAATACCATTTTCCTTGAAAGAATCAGATTTTTTATGCCTTCATTTGTTCATCTTACCACTATAAATAGCAAGTTTTATAGCTTTTCAAACTATAAATTTTCAAAAATTCTTTGACTATAATTCATTATAACATTATAGAACTTTTAATACATACTGTACTGTATATTCTATCATTACTAGTGCTGTTTGTCATGCATCACAATAGAAGACAAACTGATTAACATTTGGGTGTTCACTACTGTATCTCCATACACTTTGTGTGTGTGTGGGGGGGGTGCGCGCGCGCACTCCAGGGGATCAAATGGGAAACTGCACATGCTGGGCAAATGTACTACTGCTGAGTTACATCTCTAGGCCCACTACATTCTTTTTGTATTATCTAATTTGATACAAACCTTTTTTTTTTTTTTTTTTTTCCTTTTTTCTGAGACAGGGGCTCACTATGCAGTTCAGGCTGGCCTTGAGTTTACTTTCTAGCCCAGGCTCATCTTGAACTTGCAACAATTCCACTGCCTCAGCCCCACAAGTGCTGGGTTTACAGGCATGCGCCACCACGCCTGGCTAAATACAAGCAATTCTGTGAGGCAACGATCATCCATATTTTATTGTAATAAAACTTAGTAAACAATTACTTTAGAGTAGTTTGTCTAGTTATGGCTATCTACAGGTAAAATCTTAGGCTCTGTGAGGGCACAGGCTACATGTATTTTGTCCACTTATGGCTTTAACTCATCAGTGTGTAGAAGAGGTTCAATAAGTATTTATTGATTATTAGAGGAAGAGTGGATAAAGTTATATCGAACTCTGACTCCAAGTTACCTTCATTTAATGAAAAATATTCTCGCTCTGTACATTTACTTATGCTACACAATTTAGCACTACTCCCCCATCCAAGAGTTATGTTTTTGAAAAAACACTATCGAAAAAGAAAACTGTAGCTTGAGCCTTTGAAGAAGGCATAGGGAAAAAAACCTCAATATCTAAAAAATCCTTTTAAATATTCTTTAGTCTAAACTAAAACATTAAATATAGCATTCTACATAAAGATGATCAGTGGAATTTCATGTATTTAAGGTTAATAATGATTACTGAATTTTTTTTGCTATTCCTTCCTTCATACGAAAGTTGATTACTAGTATCAGTCACTTTTCAAAGAGCATTACAAATGAAGAAAATGAGGTAGAATTCAAGTTAGTTTTCCAACCTTAGTAAGAGTTGAGATGTAAACAGAACCAATTTAACCCTCCAGTCCATGCTTCACTATGCCTTTCTTCCAAAACTCGCTGCATCAACTGATGCCTATAAAGTGGGTGTTTTAAAAATTTATTTCGGACAACAGGACTACTTCATTAATGAAAATTTTACTTGTAATATTCTGACTCTGGTCCACTTTTGCTGTATTTTTGCCTTTCTAATTTATAACTAAAAACTTCCCAATTCCTATAAAATGAACCCAGAGTGTGGAATATCTAAGTGATTTGCCTATGTAGCAGTCAAGACAGGTTGGTAAAAATTAATCTGTATACTCCAACTCTTTAGTACATAAAACCTACAAACACGAATTTAATTGTTTTTAACCATGTAAGTAACTACTGTTTATATATTTTCACTAGTGCATATTAATTATTCAAAATAACGTGATTCACAGCAGCATTTTCTTGTCTTCTGGCCATTTTAATTTTTTTACTCCTTTGTAATGCTGGCGGTCTAACCCAGGACCTTTCATGTGATAGAAAAGCAGTGTTCTACCACTGAGGTATACCCTCAACCCAGTAGTTAGAAGTTTTGATAACAATATTGTGCTTATGGCCTTATTTTTAAAAGATTAATGGAAAGAAATGTTTGTTGTTTTTAAAAAATTATAGTAAATAAGACTAGGTATAGGTGAAGAATGTTAAATGTTAAAACTAGTTTGATCTATTTTATTAAGTATAGTAAGAACTAGTTACACTTTACCACTTAGCTAGAAAAATCAAACTTCCTGGGCTAGCTAATTTGGATATCCATGAAAAGACATTTTATTATAACAGAAGTATATGAAACATGAAGCCAACTTCTATAGCTTTTTCCTCTGTTAGAAATATGGTTGAAGAAAGATGAAAGGGGCTTATACAAATAATAAAACCAAAGGCTACATATAGCATACTTTATTACTTTTTAGCAGTTTTCTTTTCAGTACAATAATAAATATAACAGAACATCTGCCTTGTATTATTTGATTTCTTTCTAAGATCTTATTTTCCTTGCCCATGTAGCTTTTAACCAGAGATCTGGTTTATACAGAATACGATAGATAATAATATTGTGATACATATGTATTTTCGCAGGGATAGAAATTAAAATTCTCATTTCCATTTACAACTGATTTAAGTGACAATTAGTTTAAAGATTAATAAAACTTGATGGTTTTTATCTGTGGTGCTAGTAAATTCTGTCTTATATATGTTATATGACTTTTTCATATTTTTAGGATACATTTTAAGCAGTTTTCATGTTGTTTTCTGAAACATTTGAAATAGAATAAAAATACAGAATGATATCAAACTTGAGGTTTTTTAATGCAAATGTTTTCTTATAGCGATTACCTATATGTAAACTTTTAAATGAAAACAAAGCTAACATAAATACATAAAATGAACAAGTCTAGCTACTCACTTGGTATATTGTATAAAATGTGACCCTGCTGACATATTGAATGAGCACATACACAGCCCCATCAAAAATACCTCTAAACCTTCTAAGGGGTAAGGTTTTATAAAAGATTCATTAGGATAGGAAAGTATTAATAGCTTAGACTCTGCTATCTTAAGTGCCTCTGTTGTATACTGATTATCTGATCTTGAGTAAGCTTCATGAATTTTTCGGGGTCCCACTTTTCTCATTGTGAAATGGGCTTAATACGATTTTACCACAAAAAGCTACTTAACTGGATAGTCTTAAAAATTAAATGAGATAGTGTTTATGAACAGCACACCACTAAATAGTTCCTTTAGTTGTTGTATTAATCAGGATTGTGTTACTGTAATAAAATACCCGAGATAGGATACTTACAAAGAAAAGGTTACTTAGCTCATAGTTTTTGAAGTTTAAATCCAAGATCTGGTGGCCCATTAGGTTTTGGGCCTGAGAAAAGGGCGTATGTGGGGGCAAGCTACTCAGATCGTAAGCCAGGAAGCAGAAAGAGAGTACTGGATCAAATTCCCAGCATCCTCTTTGAGGGCACATCATCAAGGATCTGTGCATCTTAAGGCTCCATCACTTTAAGATGACAGTATTAACCAGTACTCCCACCCTGGAGATTGGATCTTTGGAACTTATCCAGACCACAGCAGTTGTCAATATTTTCAGTAAGTGTACCTAAATATTGTTCACATTATTCATTTCTTTCTAAATAGTCTACAGATTAAAAACCAAAATCTATAGTCCCCATCATAAAAGACTATCATTGTTTTTATCTTGTCTTTCTAATTTTATGTCGTGCTTTTCACCCTTCTTCCCCATACTCTTTGAGGTCTTTAAACTTTGAAAACCATTCCTCCTTCCCATCCCCCACCCCCCAAAGCATATTGCATTGTTGCAAGTATATGACCTACAATTTTAGTGAACAGCACCCCACATCGGCTTTTCTTGCTTACTAAGTTATTGTTTCATGATAAAAAACAGTTAATACAAAGATCACATGAGCTTGTGAAAAGTAAAAATGTAAAAGCTCAGATTTTTAGAGTAAACAATGGGACGTCTGTTTTGATGGTGTAGAGCAGTTCATGCTGTGTACATGTCTTCAGCAGTTTTACTTTTAATTCAGATTTTACCCCTTTAGACTGCATCCCACCACTTAAGTAGCCATCTACTCTTCTTTTACTTTTAAAAAACAACCTATGTGTGTGGGTGAATCTTATATGCAGAGACATACACATACTTGCAGTTTGCAGTATTGGAAATAAACCGTATTTTCCTTTTGCAAAGCAGATACTGAAGGTTTTAACTAGCAATAGTATGTTTAGGATGATGATTACTACTATTTTGTAATAGAGTTGAAGCTAGAAAGGAGAACAGTAAATCCTGTTAAATGAAGACGTCCTAAACAATGTACTATTAGAAGGTTGGCTTACATGAGAATCAGCTTAAGTTAATTAAGCTAATGTCAATCTGCCACTTTTTCTAAGCTGGCATAGCCCATTCTTGTTGGATTTTATTCATAAACTGAGGATTCTAACTTTAGAGTAGGAATTACATTAGGAGGTAAAGGTAAGGAAGGGGGATGATAAAATTGAAGTATGGGGCCAGGGATATATCTATGTAATGTAGCAGGAATAGACAGCAGTCATTTCCAAAACTTAAATATCCTTGGACTTCTCTTAGTCATGAAACTCAACAATAAATGTATGTCTACTTATCACAGAGAAATGATCCAAAGAAATCTGGCTTTCTCAAGAAACACTGCAAGAAGCTGGGGATGACCTATAGCAGTGTTTTACAAAGTGAGTACAGGCCTGTAATCCTTGCACTCTAGGAGGCTGAAGTTGCAGGATCACAATTCAATTTCTAGTTCAGCTCAGGCAAACTCAATGGCTTAGTGAGACCCTGTTTGGAAAAGAGGGAGGTGGTGTGGAGCTTAGAGTGAAGGCTCCACATGTTTCCACTGCTAGCACTACCAAAAAAAAAAAAAAAAAAAAAGATGTACAGCAATGTCTTAGAATCACTTGGAAGTTCTGTTCAAAAACACTGGTTACTCGGCTCAACTGCAGATTTATGTAAAGCAGAATATATGGAGGGAAAATTTCAAATGGCACTTTCAATCACCCCTAGGTGATTTTAAGTTCCATACAATTTGAGAACCACTAATCTAGATACAACAATGCTAAGGAGCTACTTGATTTATAGAATTCCAATTATAACTAATTTTTTGTACACTTGTAGGCAAGGTTAGTTTTATGTTATGAATTGGTAAAAACAACCCAACTTGCTACTTATTTTAACGGTACAAGAATTAGTTTCATATTTGTCATCTAATTTCATTACAGTACTGCTAGAGTTAGATATGGTACATTTAAAAGCAAATACATCTCTTTGTGGTCAGAAAAGCATTTTATATATTTGACAATTCAATTTTGTTTCTTCCTAGAGGTTTGTTTAATAATAAATTAAAGAACTGAGCTGAAAGATATTGACTATTATTAATAACAGTAAAATTCCAGGAATAATGATAAAAAAAGGGCAATTTGTCAGTTGAGGTGGGTAGAAAAAAGAACAGTAATACCTAAGGCTAGTGGAGAGACATAAGGGGAAAAGAAACATTTAAACACTATTAATCAGAACTATTTTAAAATATCTTAAATTGCGGCCCTCAGTTCTTCAAGATACGTATGAAGGGCTTGGTATGGAAAATTACAGAAATATCTCTGACACAAGACTATTCTTTTTTCTAGGAATAAATATTAGTATACTGTCCTTTGCGCTACATCTACCATTTACTGATCACATATACATTAAAAACTCATGTTTTTACATGCATTTTCCCACTTCTTATGTAGACAATATTATTCTAGTTTACAAAGTCTATGAATATTATTTACAGCTACAAAACAAAACAGTCACAAAGTGGGATGTGAACCCAGATAAGCTGTCTAGACACACATTCTGAATGGCAACACAAAATGAATTTGAGTTTTTGAATCAGTCTGAACAAAGCAGAAGTCTATGATAGAATAAACTCCTGTGAAAGATGTAAAACCCGATCCAGCGGCTCTGCCACCCTGATTATATATCTGGTCACCTATCTGAATCTACGCTTTGCGAACTATTGATAGAGTTGGACTACATCATTAAGATGCCACCATCCTAATTTGTGAAGGCAAAATTTTAATCAAAATACAAAATGACAATCTAAATAGAAGGGAATTCGCATTTGTTCCAGAAAGTGAGGAATAGGTAAAATTACATGACCTCAAGTCTACACCAATTTTGGCAAGAAAGGTATTATCATCAGCCTAATTGAGGCTCAAAGAGGAGAGCTGTATTTGCTTATAACCACGTGAGCAGTATGTGACAGAGCTGGGGTTTGAAGCAAGACCTACTGTACCTCTTTCCTTTATTCTGCTCTGCCCCCTGAGGTGAGTCTTGTTTAGAATTTCCATCACCTTTTTACTTCTGAGAAGCTAGGATATTCCTGAACTCACTTTATACAATCAGTTAAGATACTATGGGGCAGAGGGAAGTGAACAAACGACCTACAGTAGTGTTTTACAAAGTGAGGTATACTTGTAACACTTCTCTTTCTCTATTAAAAATAAAATAATCAGACGCGGGAATATCCTTCCTGTTTATAGTAAGTAAGGGATCATCAAGCACCCTATCACTTAATTCTGTAATTCAGCAAGTGCCCAAAAATGTATTCAGCATCAGACATACAATATAAAAAGTTTCACTTTCATTTTTATGATCCTCACGAACACCCTAATTGCCTTAGACTAGAAATCAGTTTGTGTAGCCAGAGAATCATTAGACCCTTTCAGGGATAGCACAATATGAAGAGGAGTCTATTTCTCTTCATCCCTTTCTTAAAGTAATGCATCTCAATGCAACTCCAGCACCCATCATACATTGAATGTTACCGATTTTATCGATTATGTTCTAGGAAGAACAGGACAACTGCACTTTGATTCAGAACATAATTTAATATAAACAGTTATATGGGTTTTATTACTATATGGATTAAAAAATCACATTATTTTACTTAATAACCATGACAATAGTCTGTATTAGTAATTATTACTATTCGAGTGTTTTATGATAGGCTAAGCAATGTACTTCACCTTCTGGAGAACTATCTGTTTTGTTCTTCCTAAAATTTCCCTTTATCTATGTAAATCTTTGAGGTGGACAAGAACTTCCACATTTTACAGTTGTTCTAAGGAGACATGAACATGGGTAGCCGATTCAAGTGCTAGCGCAAGTCCTGAAAATATGTTTCAGTCTTAGAGTAAGCATTACCCTTATTTCAGAGACAGGGCAAACCAGGAGGAGGAGAAGGTTTAGCCTATTAACCACTGTCAAATGAATACAAGGAAAAACCAGCACCTAGATCCTGGTTCTCTGATCTGGTCCACTGCCATTTCTCAATACATTCTCTTTAACAGAAAACGTTTTATTTACATACAATTTACCACTTACCAACAATACTGCATTCAAACTTTGTAACCAACCTTGAATTACCCACTATTCCCAATTTACAGAACATGTGCTGGTTGTAACAGACTGGGGAACTGGAGGGTTTTCAGAGAACTGCAATTCAGTTTACGCCTTAAGAACTTGCTCTGTCCAACTTAAAAATCCCAAAGAAAGTGCATTCTGTGTTGAAAGGTCAACTTCAACCCTAGTACTTCAGCGTCTTCGCTCATCTTAGAGTATTTCCAACACAGTACGACTGAAGCAATTTATGTTCTGATTTGTTTTCGCTTTTGTGGGTATTTTATTTCACTTTCGAGTATTACTCAAATCCCTTGCACGTAGGGGACGAAGGAGTCAGCCTATCTTGCAAGAAATAACCGAAAACGGGCTGTAAAGCGTGGGCTACACACGGGAGAAACGACGAGGCGCTGGGCTAGCGCTTACATCGTGCGGGGCTCAGGTCTGGGCAGCACCGCTCTTGTCAAGTGTCCCTCGTTCCTTCCACTTACTTGCCGTCTCAGTGAATGAAACGCCTAGCAAAGAGCACAGCGAAAATGGACAATGGGTGAGACGTGCAGGGCAGGCGCGGCCGCAGAGCCGGGGTGCGGGGCCTGGCGGCGAGGGGCGTCTCGGGCGGGCCTCCCCCGGTCGGAGGAGGGGCGCGGGAAACGACGCGGCGCTCGGCCCGGAACGGCGAGCAGGCTGGTCCCGGGCCCGGCCCCGCCGCCGCCAGCGCACGCCCGGCGCGAGCGTGGACACTCGCGAGTGAACACTCACCCTGAGCCCCGGCACCGCAGGGCCGCCCCCAGGGCCGCCGAGTTTCGATTCCCCAATTGTTTGGAGACGGCCTGAAAACAAACCGGGTCGGCCAGGGGTCACCACGGGCTTCCGGTTTCCTCGAAGCCACCGCTGCTTCCCCCGAAGAGGTAACGGCTCCGGGTTCGCCGCGCAGGGAGTCCCATCTCTTCCGCCTCGGCCGCCGCGGCGGCGCAGCCCGGGCCTCCGCCCGCGAGCCCGGCGTTCAGAAGGGAGGGGCGAGCCGAGGCCCGTTTCCCAGCAACGCGCAAGCGGAACCCGAG